GTATTGTCCCTCGGCCATCTCAGTAGGAGTCTAAGATCAAGAAAGGATTATCTCAGATATACTTGTGGGTAAGGCTTTTGTCTAATGGAGTAAACACCATTAAAATACATAGATAACCCACAAGTTTCTTGAGAAAATTACATCAGCAGAAACAGGGCTAGCTTAGACTAGAAGGAGGCTATTAGATCTTCAAAATTCTACTGATAATAAGGAGGCTGAAAAAAGTACTCAACTGCAAACACATATTACTTTCCAGGGAGAAGAAACATGACACAGGATGTGATCAATAGCTCAGAAAGCAAAGCCCAAAGACCACTGAGGGTTATTTCTAGACCTTTAAATCTAATCAAGAAAGAGTCAACGTTTTTCCAGCTGGATTTTAGTACTATATGGACTAGTGAGAGTCCCTGAGTGGCACAAATGGTTAAGTACTAGGCTACTAGCCCAAAGGTTGGCCATTCGAATCCACCCAGAGGTGTCTCAGAAGATAGGCCTGGTGATCTGCTACCAAAAGGCCACAACCATGCAAATACTATGGAGCAGGTCTACTCTGCACTCGTAGGGTCACCAAGAGACAGAATCGACTGGACAGCAACTAACAACAACATGGATGAGTGGCTCATTTTTACCTTCCACTCTGCCCCTTATTGAACCAATATGTCTAAAGTTGTTAGCATATGCCTGCCCCATCATTATGTGTTAGGAGTGTTGGAGCAGATAACTTGCCTCTTTAGCTTCACAGGTACAAACACAGAGAGAAACTGCCCCCTACAGGCTGCACTCTCACCCAGGAGTCTAATAGTCACCTGTCTTAGACGATTTGGATGATGAGATTTTGGAAGTTGAACTGATGCTGCAATGGGATGAGACCCTGGGAACCTTGGAAAGAAGTGAATGGATTTTTTTATGTGAATCATTGGAAGCCAGAGGGTGGGATGTGGAAGGAAGAATTCTAAGGGTCCTCCAAGATTCCTGGCCTCTAGTGTACACTATCTATATAATCCTCTTCCCTTGAGTGTTGGGATCTGTGAATATGATGAGCTAGCCCCTCCTTTGATTAGGTTCTGCTGCCTGGTAACTACATTATGTTAAATAAGACTCCATCTTAGCAGACTGGAGGAGATTTTCACGCAAGCTTTGAAGAAAAATAAGTTGCCCTGTGTGAGAAGGTCATGTGGTTAGGACATGCATATAGGATACAGGAAGGGTGTCCAGGCGGAGGACAATTTTCTTATTTAGTGTTAATATTTACAAATGATCCTTCTGCAGTCAAGAATGTGAGACATTTATGTACAAGTAGCTCCTCCATTTTTGTCACCCATATTGCTTACAACTGAAATTCTGGACCAAATGAAGAGCCCTAATACAAAGATGTCAAAAAGGTCAGAGAAGTCATAATGGTTGCCTAATTTATTTGTCCATTCTTCTAATGGAAAACTGCAGAGGACAAAGGGAAACACAAAATTTGTGAGATTTACTCAATAATTTAGTTCATCCATCCTTCTTACAGAAGTATGCTCCCTTGGTGGAGATTGCCTTTTGTCCCCTAATATCCATTTTTCTTTATTCCATATTAATATAGTAGCTTGCTGTATATTTGACTATCCAGAAAAAAAAAACAACAACAACAACTATATTTCTAAGTCTCACAAAAAGAGAAGATATCTGACTAGATGGGATTGAGTGGAAATGCATGTGGCAAAGATACAATGTGGGCCTTTCCCTGTTTCTTCTCACCTTCCATCCTAGTACCTGGAATTTGGATACCATCTTGGACCCTGACCAGGGAAGACAGAGTAGGTCTTGAGGAAATTTTGGTCCCTGGAACAGAGCCCCATTCTTGTCTTACGCTGCCTTACTCTAGGCTTAGAGAGAAACAAGTTTCTATTTTGTTTAAGTTATTCTGGGTTCTAGAGTTTTGTTGCATAATTTTTGTCCCATAATTCTGAACAGTACATCCTAAATTCTCCTATTTAGTTGTTTTTAAGGCTTTTTATTTACTTGGTTGTTGTTGTTGTTATTGTTTAATGTTTTACTACTTCAAAAATACTGAAATACATCTTAAACTTTAAATTTTGGAAAAATAATATTTTTTCTTATGGTTTTCCCAGACACAGTCCGCTCTAGTTACATTTGGTATATACGTCTTCTATGGAAACTCACTCTTAGAATCATTCCCAGCTGCTGTTGTGGTCGTTCTTGTTAGGTGCTGTGGAGTGGGTTCCAACTGAACTAACGGCGACCTTATATACGAGAGAACAGAGCGGTCTCTGGTCCTGTACCATCTTCCTGACTGATGGTATATTTAAGCCCATTGTTTTGGCTATGGTGTCAGTTCATCTTCCTGGGGGTTTCTCTCATGTTTGCTGACTCTCCCAACCATGATGACCTTTTCTAGCAACTGGTCTTTCCTGGTGATGTGTCCAAAACAAGTGAGCATGAGTCTTGCCATCCTTGCTTCTAAGGAGCATTCTGATTGTATTTTTTTCTAAGACTGATTTCAGAAAGTTAAAGGGAATAGATTTAAAAATAACTAAAGCATTATTCCATGAAAATCAAAGTGTATTTAATTTTAGCAAAACTAGTAAATAATTAGCTGGGAGGAGAAAAGAAGATATGAATAAAGTTAAGTAGTATTTGTTCTTTGAAACGTTGAAAGAGAGAGGTGTGGTGTTAGAAACTGGAAGTGAGACTTTCACAAAACAATGAACCAAACAGCGAACAAACACCTTATGGAACAGCTTTTCTCTTCTAAAATATGATCATGTAGGAAGTTAGGTTCTATGAGAACAAGGAGCTTGTAAAGATTCCTGTTCTAATTATCTCTGAGAGAGACAGGTTAGAGGACTGAGGAGGGTGAAGGGAAAGTCCACCACCTTTCGCCTGGAGGACTGAGCAGGGTGAAGGGAAA